TCTTCAATTGTGAAAGACAGCTCGGACTCTATCACTGTGATTGCCTCCGATCTGCCGAGCTTCCACAGTTGAAAAGAAGAATCGGGGCACGAATAAGTGCACCAGAACCTTGTCACGAAAACATCCTACCAAACCTGAAAAACCCTATACCAGTGAATATCCGAAGCTGGATAACCTAAAATAAGTTGGAACTAACACCTGTAGAGCAGTACTCCAGGAATCCAATAAAATAATTCAAGTCAATTTGAGAATCGTACAAAAATAAGAAATTACGGGAATAAGTGGATTCCGAAATACTACGGAAAGCCAATCCATTCGCACCCACACCTTGAATCTTTTTTATCCGAGTTCGATGATGAACGTTTGGCGTACTCTTATGAGATAAATCGTCAATCTGAGAGTACAAGTCCTATCCTAAATTAAATCCGTCTCAGCATAGTGAAGACGAGTAAACAATTAATAATCAGAGTTAGTTAAGAATCTCGGAACGTTCGAGATATCGAAACACGAATTCGATTCGGAATTTCGGCCTCGATCAACTGAGCGACCGAAGCCTAGACGCATAATAAACCGAATCATCGCCTGCGCGGCACGAGACATCGCGATCCTTCTCTAATTCGCACCACTGTCTCTTTCTTACTCGGGTTTTCGCACCTGGGAAACCGGCGATTCAATATTCCCGGAAAATTCTGTCGCGGATCGAACTCACAATGGTGCGGAAAAGACGGTGCATATTGCACGGCCTAAACCGTACCATTACAAACCCTAGGTCACGCCACGGACTGAATGTGTTCACACGCAGTCATCCGGCTGGGTCGATCAGAGGAGAGACGTCTACGAATTTTGCCGCTAATAAACCAAATACAGTCAAACCTGTTTTTGTGCGGTAGATAGGGACCGCAGAAAAAAAAACCGCACAAAGAGAAATATTTAGAAACTTCATAAATAGGTATAACAAATAATTTTTCAGAACATATTAAAGAAATTTTTTTTTATGTGGTGGTGAGGGACCGCATAAAAAAAGGCTCAGTTAGAAAATATGTCAAAGCTTTGCGAAATAGCGAGAAAGTGCTTTCCAAAGAAAATAAATAATTAAATTACACATGGAAATATTTTAAACAATTTTCATTTCTCATTTTAAACATGGAGAAATTTTCAAAATGTACATAATTCAATACTACTCGTCGTAGTCCAAAATGCGCACATTCTTGTGATAAACGGGTTCGTAATCGCTTTCCTCACTTGAAGATATTACAGTTGATTTATTTTTTGTTACCATGTAGTCGGTGATAAGTTTTTGCGACGACGATCGTTTGATCAGCTGCTTGTAAACGTCGAGATAGCCAGATATACCCGATCACAGCTTTTTTTGGAATTTCAAATTTCTTTCGGAATTGTTATCTATTTTAAGAAAATGCTTTTCCAATTTGCTGCAAAGCTGGATCCCTGCATATATTTTATCCGGTGTCATAGAATCCGGTTCTTCTTGTTCGTCTTCATGATCCGTTAAGTTATTAAGAATGTCACTATCAGTTACGGTTTCATCCTTAATCATTTCGATAACATCATTTTCGCTAAAAGTGGCAAAACCTTCTCCGCAGATGTGATGTGCTAACACAATGATTTCTGACGATAACGTGGACGTGTTTTCGGTTACATTCCTATTAATTACACATTTAGGCCAGACCGCTTTCCAGCATGAATTTAAAGTGAGTTGTTTTATTTGAGCAATTACTGCAGTAGTGAGGAACAGAATCCCAATATCAATATGCTGCATAAAAAAAAATCGCATAAAAACAGGTTTGACTGTATAGCGCCTTTTCCAAGCTTGTGTTACGTCAAGACGTCCCAACCTGAAATGCGAGTCGGTCAGGTAGACTCGACTCTATTTTTTCCTTTCCTCCCTTTTAGGCCACGAACTGAATCGTATAGCCAAGGACTGGAGGTGCACGCAGGAACGTATGGAGTTGGGAATGAAACACAAGGGGTCAATAAGATTCTTCCTTGTTTGTGGCCATAATACTTTTATTTCTAGAACGACCCGAGGTTGAACATAAATCATGTACACTCGAAAACTGAGTGATAATAATTAAACCTAGACTAAAATGAGTGCACCATTTTCAAAGGAAGTTCGCTTCGAAACGCTTAAACTAATCTGAAATTCAATTTAATAATATAAATTCAGGCAATTGCAATTTGAAGAAAATTATCAGATCGAGTGCCGTTCAAGTTACCAACAATATTCAAAAACAAAATTTAATAACGTAAATTCAGATAATTGGTAGTTGGAGAAAGTTATCGAATCGTAGGTCGTTCAAGTTACTAACAATATTCAAAAACAAAATGTAATAACGTAAATTCAGATAATCGGTAGTTGAAGAAAGTTATCGGATCGAGGGTCGTTCAAGTTACTAACAATATTCAAAGTCGGATGGAATCGCAAAGTTAGGAACAAATGTGTGTTTTCGTCACACGAAACTCTGAAGGTAATTCTGTCAATTACTGAATTTAAGTTTGTTATATTGGACACATAATTTAACGAGGAGTCTCTAACCTTTCGATGATGATCTGCCTTTAGATTCCAATCCCTTTCGTGGCAGGTTATTTCGCTGAAGACCTTCGGGCGGGGGTTTTCCAGTATTTCCCCTTGGAATTCTGGAATCTTCAGACACGATCTCCGAACAGTTTAATCCTTCTAGTATGCGTTTAGAAACTTTTCCCGCTCCGTCTTAGAAACTAGTACGCTCTTAGAAACTTTTCCTGATCCGTCTGGTTCGAAACTCAACTGCGAAGTGTCTGCTTGTTTCTCGAATTAAAATTTTGCGCTCTCGTTAGTTGAGGAAGGGAGCAATATGTCTCTCAGGGAGGGGCGTTGGTTTTGCTGATTTTCATGGTCAATTTATTGCGACCATCTACACGTGGTGCTGACCCGTGGTCCTGAATCGACATATTGCTCCACGGCTCGAACTTGGCGCGTGATTTTTCCGCGATATATTAAGTTACCCGGACACTTACTCACGTCCAGGTGTTCTCTTCTCCCGTTTCCTTCCAATTTTATATTTTCTAGGATGTAACACTTGAACCATCTTCATTTCACCGCCCTGATCTCCGATCAAAACAAGCATTAGCAATCATAGCAAATTCCATGTCTATCTTCGGGAAACCAGATAGAATAAGACGTCTTAATCTCCTCGAACAGCTGAGCTCGAAACTTCAGCAACACGAAATCGATGAAATTTACACATAATCCACAATTTAAACCGCGAAGAATCTCAGCGTCGGAATATCTCGCATTCAGTGAACTACCGCCGCCAAGCGCCTTATCATGGAACTTGAATCGCCTCGACGCGGAAGTAGTACAAACCCAAAGAAATTAGACACCTTGATTGTTCCACGCCGTTTAATTGTAACAAGCCTTAAAGTGAAGTGTACCCCCCCTCAAATTCGTCGATCCAAATAAAATAATTTTGTTTAAGAGTATTGAACCAAACCGTCTGAAACTTTGACACATGACTCGTGAGCACTTAAGAATTATTCTGACACTTTCATAATTTCTATTTTCAAAAAAATTTTTTAACTTAGCCTAGACCATAACCAAAATGGCGTCGAGCTCTCATATTTCGATCGATATACAATTATTGAAGGCTCTAATATGAGAAACGAAAGCGTCAGGACAATTTTACGACAATTTAGAACACTCTGGTAGTCGATATACTCGCATTTGAACGGGACAAAGGCAAAAAAAGTGTCTTATGCGCTTCTGTGCTAAAATGAAGGTAACATGAGGTCTTGGAAAGAAAATGAAGTTGAAACTAAAATCACAGATGGCGCAGGGTGGCACTCTCCAGTCAATTACAGCATGGAAAACCATGCATCCGGAGGATTTCTGGAGTTTTACTTCGATTTCTTTGTAATTATTGTACGAAAACGATACATGGATCATGCAATTTAGTACAATACCCAAAATAATTTGAAACAGTTGTTAATATAAAAACAAACGTCAGCAACGTAAGTACTTAGAAAAACCTTTTTTACCGACGTCGATCAAGTTCCCCGACGTGTTTCACTTCACCTTAAGGTGATATGAAAGCGGCGTGAAGAGGTCTCGTTTATGATACTTTTCACCGAACTGAGTGTACTGAATCGTTTCGAACTTGACAATGTGAATATGGAAGCTATAAGGAAGGTCCTAACACCCAGTAATTTCAATTTTTTCTAAATTTGTTTCTAGATGTTTTCAAAATTCTTTATAAAAAATGGAATTTCATGACTTTCAGGCCTTTCCTTAAGGCCTCCACATTCACGTTGTAAAGTTTGAAACCATTCGTTACACCCACTTCGTAGAAACCTTTCATGAACAATTAACCTTTTACATGCCACTTTCATATTCCTTTAAGGTGAAGTGAAACACGTCGAGGAACTTGATCGACGTCGATAAAGATTTTTCTCAATGCCTACGTTGCCAACGTTCATTTTTATATTGACAGCTGTGTCGAATTATATTGGATATTTTACCAAATGGCATACTCCACCTGTCGTCTTTGTACAATAAATATCAATAAATCGAAGTAAAACTCCAGAAATCCTCTGAATTCATGCTTTCTGGAGCCCTAATTGACTGCAGAGGGACTCTCTGCGCCATCTGTGATTTCCAGGTCAATTAAATTTTCACTCCGAGATCTCGTATTACCATCGTTTTGGTATACAAGCGCATACAACACTTTTTCTGCCTTTATCCCGTTCAAATGCGAGTTTATCGATTACCAGAGTGTTCTAAATTGTCGTAAAATTGTCCTGATCCTTTCGTTTCTCATATCGGAACCTTCGATAATTGTATATTGATCGAAATATGAGAGCTTGACGCCATTTTGGTTCTGGTCTGGGCAAAGTTAAAAATTTTTTTCTAAAAATCCAAATTTTGAACCTGTCAGGACAATTCTTAGATGATCAGGAGTGATGCGTCAAAGTTTCGGACAGTTTGGTCTAATACCCTTTAAAAAAAGTGTTGTATTCGAATCGACTGATTTGAAGGGGGTTTCACTTCACCTTAACCGACAGACAAAATTCATCCTGCATTCCTGAAATGCAATACTACTGAAATACGCAAAAGAAAAATGACATAATTTTTTATTTTACATGAGAACGTACCCTTAATTATAATTAAATAGTTCTTAATTATCATTTATAAAAGTTTCAAACACTGTATATCACTAATATCTCCTTTACATCTGTTTAATTGTCTTAATACTAATTGCTTAGGTTGTTTACTGTACGTGGTGTGCAACTCGTACAAAGTACAAATATTAAGAATCACAGGCTCTTGTAAATTTTTCGCCGGATTTCTTGCAATAGCATTTTCAAGAAACTGCACTGCTTCTCTAAGTTGTCCTTTGTACAACATGCATACAGCCATATTATTAGCTGCGGTAATACTAGTATCCAAATCAGGTATTAATTGCATATATTCGATACTCTTTTGAAATGCGCCTTGAGATATTGCAACTAACCCTCTGTCAATGAGGTGTTTAAAATCTGCATTTTGTGCATCTGATTTATTATCTAATATTCTTTCAGCAGCAGATATATCGCCAGACAATAGATAGATCCTACTAAGAGCCGATTCTAAAATGTCTCTTTGCGCCGTGCTCCATTCTACCGTCTTCAATATATAATGCATTATACTAACAGCTAAGGTGTAATTCTTCACATTTACAGCGCAATTGACAATAGAAATCAAAGTCCTTGATTTCCGACCAAGCCACAAAGTAATTGCACCGTCACGTTCTTGCGAAGAATATTTAATATGTGTGCCATCTTCTGTAAGACCAGCCTTTAAATTTTCGATGATCTCATTTATGACGGCCAGAATACTGTATAAATTATCTATTGCAAGTTTTGGTTTACCACATATTGCTGGGATTTCAGCTAATAGTAAACGAAAAGCAAATGATGCCATCGACCCTGACCTTGTTCCATATAATTCAGGATAAAATCTAAAGAACATATCAGGTTTATTAAGGCTCCCGAATGGTTCAGCCTCCTGCTTTAGGATTTCTATGTTCTTTATTTTTGCCAACAATGCTAATCGTGTATACCACAATTGCAACGAGTGTGGAGTATGTTTACTCGGATTATCTATTTTGCCAAACCCTTGACCATATACAGCTAGCAATTTTCCACTTAGGTTTATTGCAGCTCGATAACAACCCACTTGAATTAAATGTCTTAAACCACGTTCATCTTGTGTAACATCGGCTGCACTTAACACATTCCTATGACGAGCTTCCGCTTCTCCTAAGACTTTATTCGCTGTTTCTTTAATGATATCTGGCATATCTTCTTGTATTAATACGCCAGGCATTGTCAGATTATCTCTAACGAGGTAATTATTGCCAGGCATCGATGTGGCTATAGAACTAAGAACTTTTCTCGAATGATCTGGTGGAATCCATGCATCCTTATGTATGTCATAATCTGCAAAATATATGCATTATAAAAATAATACATCTACATAGCAAGTTAGCACATAAAGTCAGGTTATGTAGAGATTATCTAGTCTCTAGATAACTGATTTTCCATCGATTACATTTCAAAATTGTAATGAATAATTTAATCACAATCAGTTATTGTGCTCAACTCTGGTTAAAGAACATCTTTTAGGTGTTGTAAGAATATAGACAAAAGATGCCTTTAACTCTTTGCGATTGGTGTCGCCATAGTAGCGGCATTTTTAGAGTGTCGTAAACGTCAGCGTCGCAGACTGGTGGCATGATCTTATTCATGATTGTCTGACACGTGACATAGCTAACAAGGCTAGCGATTACTGATATTAAACACAATAGATCAGCGTCAATATATTGTGTTTTTTAATATCCATTTATTTGCTTTAAATCACTTAGAGATAAATAACTCTGAAAGGCTAAATTTGCTCCATCTAGTACTCCCATCGGAGAAATTTGCCAATCGCAAAGAGTTAATGCTGTGCATCATACTTTAAGAGATACAACTATCAGAATTACATATTATATGTTAACAGCTTTTAGAATGTGCATGAACATTTGCCATAAAGCAAATAATCATGAAATAAATGCAATGCATTAAATAAATCTCAAAGACATTCAAAATCAAATTCACACTGTTCCTCATTAGGGTACTGTGCAGACAGAGCGCATGCATATAAAGCAGTTGTCATATTTTACAACATTGTCAAATCATGTTTTACGATTACAGCCTTTTTACTAAACATGGACATAAATAAAGGTATGAGTATGACCATGGCGTCTTCTAACAGGCAAATCATCTTCAACTAAAAGATGCTCAAATGCGTCCATAAAAGTATGTAAAGGCATAAACCTGTTATTAATTATATCTTCTATATCCTTCTTCTGCACTTTTTAAATTTTCAATATCAACTTAGAATATTTTTTCAGACATTGTTCTTATCAGTATCTACCTTGAGCATGTTTTTAGTGCTACCGATACAACATCGACTTGAAATGGATTCATTATATCTGACCACAATCAAGCCTTAAATCCTTGTACAGAAATTTGAGATTGAGATATTTTCTTTCTATATAAGCGTAACATACTAATGCTCTCACTGAATCAAAACGTAAAAATACAAAATGCAAAATAACCAATAAATCATAAGGAAAATATTTTATTAACAATAGTAAATAATAATATAGAAAAACCTGCAACATACTAGATGCATCTGTTTTTACTGAAGGTGCAATTTCGTCGAAAATTGTGTGACCAGTATTACTAAAATATCGTCCAATATGAGCTGACGGTTTTCCAGAATCTACGTTATCAGCTTTATTACAATCGGTTTGATTGGAAGCGTTGATCATATTCATTCTTAAAGTTATCAACTCCTTTCAATACACCACGAAAATAAAACTCATAGTCATAAACAACTAATAGAGATAAGATAGGAAATTGCATGATGCAAAGGAGGCAAGGTGTGTTCACTGGCATTCATAGATGGTTTCCTTCGGGACCTACTGCCCTCTCCGGCCGCGTGGCGTACTAGGGGCGGGAGCAGCGCGGAATTTAAACCGCTCGAGGGGCAGAATGGATTTCTTAAAGAAAATAAATATTTANGTTTAATTAAATGTTAACAAGTTTCTTAGCGATTCAATTGTTCCATCCACTGAACCGAAGTTAGAATACTATCTTAGCTTGAAAAAAATAGTTTATTAACATTTACACAGTGAAATGCCGTAGGAAAATTTACAATCCATCCACTTTCGGACATAGAAGCGGAATCATGATTTCATGTCTCTTATATATTTACGTTCTACACCATTCTTCGTATTCCTCGAATAAATGAACACCTGTAAATTATTAAATGAGTATGTAAATGAGCACCCGTAAACATAAGAAAGACTTTTCTTATCCGAGTTTTTTATAAACGCAAATCGGAGTAACGCTTATGAACTGATTTCGTTCAAAATAGGTATCTAAAATGTAAAACACCATTTTCTATTTCGTATTTGAAAGAAGGACAATAAACTATTTTGGATTTCCTATTTTAAATAGATATTGAATCTATTTCCATTTGAAATTAAATACTTCCAGAAAAATGAGAATATTAGAAAAGAATCGATCAAAATACCACTTGTTCTATCAACTGAATTAACTCTCGAAAAAGTTGAACAACAGGCATAACTCAAAATAGCCACTTTCTCAAAAACTGATGAAATTAAATTGTTTACTAGTATCCACTCGTAACGTTAACCATTGTAATTAAAATGCAAGATGGCAAAGTTTATTTCAGACGACAGTTCCCACTAAGGAATCGATCCTCCTTTCCCTCTGTCAATTACTTGATCGCTGTCGTCGCAAAATGACAATCCACCTTGCGAGTCGCAGAATGAAGGGGCGATAAGGCCAGAGGGTGATCCACTCCTAAAAATGTAGGCTGTGAATTCGGCGGTAAATTTCAAAATTGAAAAGACCAACAAACAGGAAAATACAAAGTTTATCCCAATATCTCAACGTAATATTAATAGAAATAATGATTAATACATTTTCTTCATGTATAGAACGATTAAGTGTTTTAATTTTGTACGTAATCTTTGAAAAATTGTGCAATCATTATTTATTACAAATGATGTATTGATTTGCAATTTATTTATTTATAATTATTATGTATTACTGCATCATATATTATTACTATCATGATCATTTGCTTGAAGATGTAATGGAGGAAGCATTACATCTTCATTTTCATCGTCATCCGATTCGAATAGCTCCAAAATTCGCAAACTGTCCCGCTAAAACGGCCATGTTGTACTTTGTTGAGCTTTCTGGCGTTCGGGTAGAGTTCTAAATCCAGTAAGTTACGTCAGAAACGAAGAGAAATTCCCGGTAACTTATCGGTAATTTCTCCAAAGTCTTTTTTATCGAAAAATTATGAGAATTTGCATTTTTCAACAGAGCGAACGAGAGGTTTCGATTAGCTATAGAGAAACATCGTAGAGGGGAATTTCCGTTGTACGTTTTCCGTAGCCAATCAAAACCTCCCATTCGCTTCGTCGCAGAATGAAATATCAGTTCGTTTGAAACAAATCACATGGAATTTTCCGTGAAGTTGTACATACGTGAATATTTTTAGCTGGAGGTAAATACGACCCTATAATCATTATTTTCTAATAGTAATTATTACTCTTTAGCTTGAACTTTGAAGTTGATTGAAAAAAAAGAAGTTATTTAAACGAAGAAACCTAAAGTATAAATAACAAAATTAACGTTCTCTTAAATTCTCAATATTCCTGGTAACTTACGGTATGTTTCACAGTTACCTTCTCCAATTTAATATTACCGAGAATTTTCGAACTCTACGTTCGAGACGTCGACGAGAGTGTACCTATACTTCTGAACCTTTCAAGAAATGTGTAATACACTCGTTACACTCGAGTGTAGAAACTGCAGACAACGCGAATAAACCTAATAATCCGACGGCGTCATTCGACAATGAGAATAAAAGGTTTTAATTAGCCCCAGGAAACGTACAACCTAAATTCCCCCACTCCGGTGTTTCTCTGCAACAATCAGAACCTCTCATTCACTCTGTCGCAAAAATTTAAGTTCTCATCATTTTTTGTAAAAAAAAAAACTTTAGAGATCGATAAGTTACCACGAATTTCTCATAGTTTCTGACGTACCTTACCGCATTTAGAACTCCAGTCTTCCCTGCGGACCTGCTGCCCCCTCTGGCCGCGCAGCGTACCAGCGACGGGAGCAGCAGAATGGACTTTCCAAATAAAAAGAATGTTTATAAACAAAGAGAATTAACGATAATTTATCAAGTATTATTCTAAAGTGTTCTTGACCCACTTCACGTAGTTTTTGTTAAATGATTGCTAATAGAATTTCTTAAGCAATATATTCAAATACGTTCTATTAAGGTGAAATGAAACACGTCGAGGGACTTGATCGACGTCGATAAAGAAGATTTTTCTAAATGCCTGCGTTGCCGACGTTCGTTTTTATATTGACAGTTGTATCGAATTATATTGGATATTGTACCAAATGGTATACTCCACCTGTCGGTTTCGAACAATAAATATCAAGAAATCGAAGTAAAACTCTAGAAATCCTCTGAATTCATGCTTTCTGGGGTCCTAATTGACTGCAAAGGGACACCCTGCGCCATCTGTGATTTCCAGGTCAATTAAATTTTCACTCCGAGACCTCGAATTACCATCCTTTCAGCATAGAAGCGTATACAACACTTTTTTTGCCTTTATCCCATACAAATGCGAGTTCATCGATTACCAGAGTGTTCTAAGTTGTCGTAAAATTGTGCATTGCCGTAATTTTCGCGATTAATAAATTTAGACCTCATTTAGAAAGGTATCATTTGTAGCGGGGATTCGGTTAGGGAGGGTGGAGAGAGAGAGAGAATTTAAGTCCAGTGACTACGAGGTTTATTCCTCTAAAACCTTAAGGTGAAGTGAAACCCCCTTTAAATCAGTCTATTCGAATACAACACTTTTTATTAAGGGTATTAGACCAAACTGACCGAAACTTTGACACATCACTCCTGACCATCTAAGAATTGTCCTGACACATTCAAAATTTGGATTTTTAAACAAAATTTTTTAACTCAGTCCAGGCCAGACCAAAATGGCGTCGAGCTCTTATATTTCGATCGCTCTACAATTATCGAAGGTTCCGATATGAGAAACGAAAGGATCAGGACAATCTTACGACAATTTAGAACACTCTGGTAATCGATAAACTCGCATTTGAACGGGATAAAGGCAAAAAAAGTGTTGTATGCGCTTCTATGCTAAAACGATGGGAATACGAGGTCTCGGAGTGAAAATTTAATTGACCTGGAAATCACAGATGGCGCAGGGGGTCCCTCTGCAGTCAACTAGGGCCCCAGAAAGCATGAATCCAGTGGATTTCTGGAGTTCTACTTTGATTTCTTGATATTTATTGTACGAAAACGACAGGTGGCGTATGCCATTTGGTACAATATCCAATATAATTCGATACAGTTGTCAATATAAAAACGAACGTCGGCAACTTAGGCATTTAGAAAATCATCTTTATCGACGTTGATCAAGTTCCTCGACGTGTTTCACTTCACCTTAACCTATTCATTTAATCTTAACCTACTCTATTATTACTACCTTATTCCTACCTTATGATTACGCGCGGACAAACGGGTCGGCCGGCGGTTAGATGGACTTAGTTTCTAAGTCCCACTTAGGTCCAAGCAATCGCGACCTATGGCCTGAACATTAGACCAATCTTGCAAAATTCGACTGAAACATTTCAAATCATTAATCCAGGGGGCTTCTGTAGTATTACTTACTACTCTGATATATACTAAAGAATATATACTACAGAGTAGTATGCTTTATAACATATAGACTATGCTATTTAGTTAAGTACCCAATATAATTCGACACGGCTGTCAATTTAAATATAAACGTCGGCAACGTAGATATTTAAAAGAATCTTTTTTACCGACGTCGATAAAATTTCTCGATGTGTTTCACTAAGAATTATATAATTTTGGATAAAACAGCGCTATTTTTTTTTATTAAATGTATGAAACATTAATATTATTTTAAGGTAACTGAAATTATAACATTAATATAACATGTTACATAACATGTTACCTTACCGAGTGGGAAATAATATCTAACATCTAACTTCCATGTTACTTTTATGCTACATAACATGTTAGTTTCGAAAACGTAACATTTACCCATTGGGTAAAGGAAACATTGTTACCATAATCTATTGTTAATCGCATAGTTCTCTTTGGGCCAGGTACACTAACATTCGAGGTACAATTTTTAATCAAGGATTATTTAACGCCTGATTAAAATTAATCACCCGACTTCAGGTGGTAACCAATTAATGGATTTTAGTTTTCGGTTAATTTTTGTCGATGCAACACGAATTGAACTAATTCAAGATTAATTGTTCACAATTGTGAAATTTCACACTAATTACAGTTGATGCAACCGACCTCTTGTTCTGTTACATATTCTTTAAATTTTGGGTACATTGTATATTTATCCCAATTACCTTAGTATCGGTGGAACCGATCTGGTCAGTATCAAAGTCGCTTAAATAAAACTTGGGGTTTACAGAATTTTAGAATTGTAACCTTTGTACTTTAACAGAGAATTGTCATCAGACCATCTGTATAAAATATGTATCAAACTGTAGAGTATCTAACGTACCATTAGAATTCTCATTTATAATTCAGGGAGGGAACGAATGCCTTCAAATTAATGTACAGGGAATTTAATGCTGCTGCTAGGTAATTTTTCCTCTTGTAACAGTGCACTTAATACAAATTCTCAGTGCTATTCGGTGAATTAAAATTAAGAAAACGATTCATACTCCAATGTTTAACAAAACC